GGTGCGGGCAGGCTGCTGCCCAGCTGTCGGGCAGGCTGCAGGAAGAAATGGTGGTTTCCCATTCGCAGTGCTCCCTGTGCATCCCTTATTTTATGCACTTGTATTCCCTAACTACTACTGTGTTATTTTTGCCTATATTATCCGATTTATCTTGCCTTTTAAACGACATATGACTGGCATGTGTGTCTATTGCTACAAAAATCTTAAGCCGTGCTGTCGCAATGAAGTTGCTAAAAAAAAAGGGGGGGGAAAAATGCACAATGTGACGAAGAAAGGCACCCAGAGGCAAGACTGAGCAAGAAGGCATTGTCAGGGGTCCAGAATCCTTCCTCCTCTTTGGGTTCATGGCTTGTTTCCAGTCACCTTAAGACTCAGGGAAAAAAATAAATTGAGTGAGCAGTTCAACAGTGAGAAGGAATGGCCCTTTGCATGATATAACTTGGTATGGCGATATTTACTAGTTAGTCATACTAAATATTGACTCGTCAGGGTCACCTGATGGAGGCGGAGAGGATGGAAAATGAGCCAGGTAGTATACAGCTTGGTGTTCTGTTTCTATGATTACATTTCCAGTAGTCCTTCAGCCAAAGTAATCTCTTTGGAAAAAGGTGGATACAGCTGCAGAACTGAAGGAGGTGTTCAGGAAGTCAACTAAACACCTGGATGGATTCTCCCCTAGCTTACAACCACAATTCCAAGTCATTTTTGGTCACCATCCTGGGAGGAAGGAGCAGGCTGTGTTTCGAGTACATATCAGTTCAACTAAGGAATGTCAGGCAGCACATTTCTTAGTAAGTCAGATGTACCCAGAGATGTCATGTCTGGCATGGAGACAAGCTGGCATGGAACAACCTGTGGGTTGTTGAATAAGACAGTTTGTGTAGCTTTCTTCCGTTTGAAGAGACAGCGGACATTATCAAAAACTCTGCGTTAATCCCTCTTATGAGGTAACTAACTCCATGAGTCTGGGATGGGCCAAAGACACACCAAGGATAAATTAACATCACAGACAATTTCATTCCGATGCTCAGGATATTCTCTTTAAATTTATTTATATAGACCTAGGCTCAAAGTACAACAGAGATATTAACTGAGATAGGAGGTAGATAAATAAACAGTTTGTTGCCTTTTTATGCATGCAGAAACTGAGGCAAGGGTCTATTCTGATTTGTTTACATTGAGTTATACAAAGATATGTAATGTTCCCATGACTTCAGTGGAGTTAATTGAAATTCACACAGATTTAGGATGATAATTTAATGTTCCAACAGGTTACATTTTCTTAAGTACGTTTTCTTAGGGCTTCATTTAAGATAACCCCCCAGCTGCTAACCACCTAAATGCTACCAAGCTCCTATTCTACATATATATTGCCAAAACTGTGATCCCCGAGACTTCCACCCACTCTCAGTCTGACTCCTGAGCTTCTGAAGTGAGTAGGTGCGCTGTTTGCCATGACTGCTCACAGGTTCTTGGACTTCTTCCCTAGATACCAGGAAGCGCCTGACTCTTGTCAACACTAAACAGCCAGGATGATGAAGAATACATTTTTCTGGGATTTACAAGATGTAAGTTTTAATCCCTTCAGGCAGAGATGAAAGATGAACATGCCTTCCCAGCCAGGACAAAAACCTGCTTGCTTTCCTTGAAAGAAGTTGGAGAGGGAGATATGAAACCCAGTCTCAAAAAGCAACGCGAACCTGGGACAGCAGATCATAGAGGTAATGCTATACATGAGTATTTTAGCTTGTCCTGGAGGGGTAAATTTCATTTTAAAACACCTGGTGTGAATTTTTGGCTTATTTTTAGAGGATGTCGAGTTAGTGAACAATCAATGT